TATATATATATATATATATATATATATATATATATACACACACACACCACATACATACATACATTTATAGACACACAGATACACAGACACAGCAATTGAGAAAATTGGAAGGAGAGACATACTTAGGAAGTGTTTTAATTCAATTCCAGACTTTTAAAGGCTGTATTGGAGCCCTGATTTAAACTTCAAATGGATAAAATGTTCCACTTTTATAAATCAAACATTTGGAGCTTGAATAAAACTGGTGATGAATAAAGTGCTGCTAGAAAAAAACAAAAAACACACACTAGAAAACAGCATGTAGCTACATTGGATTTGCTGTTTGGTGAAAGGCCATCATTACAATAAAAAAATTATAAAAAAAAAAAAATTATTCTTGGAAAAATCAGACTGGATGGGAACACTGGGAGAACATGACAGATGGCCAGACAGGCAGAGATCTTCAGCTGCAGCTCAAAGGATTTAATCAAAGTTTTGTCACACTAATTTCACTCCTATAACTAGGGAAAATGTCCAAGATGACTATGTGCTGCAGGAAATAATTGACAAATACAACCATGAATGGGAAAAGCTCACCTATTGTTCCTGCATGAACCTGCAGAAATGAGCAAACTTTGCCGAGCCTGACTTCTACTGCTAAAAGCAGCAGGGGAGTGAGTGAGACATCCATGTCCTGAATCGGTTTTGATTGAGTCAATAAGGAAACTGTTCTGAGCTCACTTTAAGGTCAATTACTCAATCCATATCAAAGAGCCTTGAAGAGGTACGCTCACACATCATCAATGCTGCGTAAGACCTTCATTCAATTTCTCTCTCTCTACAAAGTGGACCATCTCTGTGGACTGATGCACACTTGGGAAATATTTACCTTCAGAGTAATGTTCTTCAGCAGTGTGTCCTCCAGCACTGCCTGCAGCTTCCGGTTAATCTCCAGAGACAGGTCCAGGGTCAGCCCGCTGTCCGCCGGGTGGGAGGTGTAAAGCGAAGCCATGATGCCGCCCCGCCGGCTGAGGTGGGCCTTGTTAATGTCTGAAGCTTCTGATGAGAGGGCCCCTGACTCCTCTCTAAGCACGTAGCTCTGGATAATTCTGTGGGGAACAAACAGAAGGAAGGTGGGGAGCGATGAGTCAAACCTTCCTCTGATAAAGGAGAAGAAACAAACTGGGTGCGCGGTATCAGCTGCAGACTGTAAGGGAGGGGGGGGAAGGTTTAGGCGAAAAGCATGGGGAGCTTCAAACAGAGCAATAAAGCATTGTGTAGCAGAAAAGGCCAGGGACTGTACAGGAATAGCAATTCTGCGAGGGATTGCTTATTGGACCCATGAGTGCAGGAGCCATTCAGTCATGGACAGATTATTACTGTGCCTGTCAGAAAACAGAAAGGTAATAAAAACAGCGGGATTACAACGGGCTGCAGATTCAATTAATTGCCTGCTTGTATCCGTTTATAAGAGAGAGCGGGATAAATCTTCATGCACAGGATCCCGTTTCACCTCAATAACTGTTTGGAGGCTAAGCAGCACTTGTTTTACAGAAGGACCCAAAGAATTCATTAACCTAACAGCACAAACTTCTCGTTTCAGACGGAAAATAACTGACCCACACACAAGCCATAGCTGATGTTGATTTCAAACGTTAAAGAGAAAAGATCCGTTCTGTCCTCGGGGTTAAAACGGCACCATTTTTTTTTCTTGTTTTCTCAAAAGAAACTCAGTAAATTGGTGAAAACAGAAGGACTCTGAAGGGAGTCTGGCAGAAAAGGTCAACAATCCCACCGTTTTGGAGATGGATCAAGAATCAATATTTTAACATCTCTTCGAACCCAACCCCATACCTCCCAGGCATGAAAGATTCAAAACAACCAGTCCACCACTGCTATTGTTTTACCTCTGATCCATGGTGGGTTAAAAAGAGAAGATTCAAAGGTCAATATGAGCCCCAAAAAGGATCTTAGATAAAGAAACATTTATGAGACTTTAATGGGTTTCATGAAACAACTGCGGTCAACGACATTGGGTGGTGAACCAACACAAGGTCGCCCTACAAAAAAATTTAACTAATCATAGTCAAAGACCTGCATCCATATTCAGCCTCTTTACTCTGGAACTCCTAAATAAAACCAACAGAAATCAACTTATAAAGTCACCTGTGTTTGACTTTGAATCGCACCAACGGCCTCCGAGGTTTGTTAGAGAACATTAGTGAACAAACAGCATGATGAAGAACATTGTAAAAGTCACAAATAATATAAGAAGCGAACATCTCAGAGTATTTTTTGATCAGAAAGACTTAAACAGCTTCATATTAAACAGCCACAGAGAACAATGATCAGAAGCACCTGTAAACTCTGGAGGAGATGCTGAGATTCACAGCTCAGGTAGGAGTTTGTAATTTATTAAGAGAAAGCAGCAACAATTCCTGTTTTAAATTTACAAAAGTAGGCAACCGGATAAAAATTTTGTTAGTTCAAAGATTAACATGAGATTTAAATACAGCTTTCTGACCTGGATGCATCATTTCTTGTGGAGACAAAAAGCAAACACCAAATCCATCCCCACACAGTAAACCAAACAGGCATCAGGCTAAGAGAAGCTATAATAGCCTACAAACTAGGGAAAACTTTAATTTGGGGAATGGTTCAGATCAAAGCATATCCATAACTTAAATTCCCTAAGTTAAAGTTCAGACCTATCCGATATACTGAAAGACTTAAAAAAGACAAATAAGCTAGCTGAGAGTCATGCTGCAGCTTTTATTCCCCTCTCAAGTTATTCATCAGTTATCATGCAGGGAGTTTCAGCTCTGAACCCAAACACCCATAGGAAAAATTCTTGAAAATAATAGAGATTGGTGTCCTGACAAGTTTCATCAACCTCATCTCCAGACGGCATGTTGAAAACCATCTGAACCGAGCTGAACTATATCAGAGCTGTAGGGCTGTAAATTTCAGAATGCAACGCGTTAAAACAAAACTCAGTGTCTGGAATAATTTGTTGGCCGAGCTGGGATCAAAGCTAAAGGATGGGTGTTTTATTTCCTGGTAAAAATGGAGCATATCAACCAGAGTGCAGACAATGTGCTATGTTTTAGCATTGTCTAAATATAAAAGGATAATAGCAGTGTAGAAGACAGACAAGACTATAAAAATATAATGACAGAGCCATCTACTATAGCTGCCATTTGACCTACTTATTTTGTTTTAAAGATAAGCAGTAAATGGGAACTATAATAAAATGGTTGCTAAGCACAAAACCAACTGAAGTGGTTTACATCTTACATGTGAAACAAAAGGTTCAGTGTCTGTAGAAACCAAATCATGCCTGTTTAACTAATATGAGGGGTGCCTCAAGGCTCTGTCTAAGGCCCCCTTTTTTACATTTGCTCTTTTAGTCAAACTGCATTTAGCTGATTAGAACAAGTAACTTCTGGATATCTTCTCATTACCTAGAAAGGCACGGTTCCTCTGATCAGGAAGTATTCCACTGGCCATTAAACCAAACTTAAGGAATTTGTTTCTTGTTTTTAACCAATCAATGTCTCTTTCAGTTCAATCTGAAAACAACTTGCCCATATTGGAAGTAATTTGACAAATATTTCTAAAAGCCTTCTACTTGAAAACTTTTTTGAGTCCAACTGGCCCCTTTTCACATGTGTGTGTATATATATATATATATATATATATATATATATATATATATATATATATATATATATATATATAAAGTCCTGGATTTCATTTGTTTTCTCCAAACTGCTGCAAGACTCTTGACCGGAACAAACGATAGAGCTCACAAAACTCCTGGTTTAATATCACTGGTTGCCTGCTTATTTATAAAACATTTTAAAGTGCAAATTTCAAATTTCAGGGTCCTGAACAGACCCTTAAACCAAAATCCATTCATAGTCGCAAATACCAGATATAAAGCTGAAGGGGTTATCCGTTTTCCACCAATTCTTTCATCTTAAGTTGTCTTGATAATGTGAAAAAAAGGAACAGAAGACTATTTTTATTAAGAATGTCCACCACTTTTTCTACCATGTTTCAATATCTATACAATCTAAGGCATTTTAGGTTTTTTTCTGAGGGATGTCCTTAATGTATAAAATTCCCTTACTTACTAAAGTAATTAATTCAAGAGGTGATCCTCTTCTTGCGGGTAGTGACACAAATTTCCCAATAAAAGTCAAAAACTGTTGACTTCATTAATCTGAACCAATTATAAAAGCATAACCCCACCCCTACAAACCAGACAAAAATCTTAAAATGCCACCAAAAATGGCAGTGTGAAACAGATACTATGGGGTGAAGGGATGAGTGAAAGCGTTAAATGGGGGTGGGTTCAGGATGAGGGAAACCGGCAATGACTTTGACGTGACAAAACAAGCAAAGCATCTAAATGAAACTTTACGCCGCCCTATGGGTAAAATGCTATTGATCTATGCCTGAATTTCTAACTCCTGACTCGCCATAATGGCGCGTTTTGGAGTGAGATGGTTTTATGAAGGGATCAGAATAAGTAAACCACATTTTCTTATTCTCCATGTTCTCCACCATTAGACACTACAACGACAATAACTTGTGCAATTTATTAATTGTGCAATTACTATTTGATACCCTGTGCAATAACCTGCCTCTGTATATTTGACACCCAGTGCAATAACTATATATTCTAAATATAAATACCCATGTAAACACGCTTTGCAATAACCCTGTATAATAATCCTACTATAAAAATTATATTTTACAAGCTGTGTTATGTGGATGTATTTTTTTTTTTTTCTGTATCTCTTGCATGTTTTTTTTTTTCTTTCTTTTCTTTTTTTTTTTTGTTTGTTTGTTTTAGCTTAAGTTTTTTTTTTCTGTGTTCGATCAATTCAGTCAATCAATCAATCATTCAGTTTTTTTTTTTGTTTTGTCTGTTGTGTTGTTGTTGTTATGTATAAACAATGGAGAATGTAAGCAGGAAACTGGAATAATGTCGCCCCGATTCCCTGATTTAAGTGAATCAAATGCACCAACATGTCCAAATGTGGGGCTGTGACTCACCATGCTCCATTTTAACCAGTATAAAAAATTCAACAGCGTTCAGAGTTTAGTTCAGCTTTAATAATCTACGAAGTGTTTAACACAAAAAGCAGGATCTTAAGAATAATTTCATGCAAATATGGAGGTCACTACTATTTGCATGCAAAAGCCTAAATCTGACAAAAAGTGGTTCTTTCTGATGAGAGGAGGATTATGATTAGCATGCAGCTCAGGCAGTTGATTAACTCCTCCCCATTCTGGCATGCAGCTACAATGTGTTTGAGTGAAATACTGTCCTAGAGGTTTCCTTTCTAAATGCCCTCAAAAGAAAAAGTCTGAAAGTTGAACACAATACAAACCTACACCTGCCACTGTGAGGTGTCTGTAAACGACTGACGCAAACTCAGGTGTTTCCTAACAAACAAGAATATAACTCACAAACAGTTAATTGAAATTATTCATATCAATTATTGAAATCGATTTGATTGAAATACTCATCGAGTGAAGTGATTTAATTATGTGACTCATAATCAATGAAAACCGTTTTCTCTCTTAGCCTAAGGAAAAGTACTGTACAGTATTAGTACTCAATACCTGTCTCATCGTTCTAGCAGCACTTAAAAGATTCTCTCTAGAGTTTGCTGGTCAATCCAACACGGTGATAAGCATGGCCATTAATGCAGATAATGCTGCTTTTGTCAATGTGAATTGGTATATAAGAAATCAGTGACTTAATATCAAGATTTTTAGCAAAAAATAATTTAGTGATCAAAAATAGCGGAAGCTCTCACATTAAACTAACGTCCTTGAATGACTTGGCTGCTGCCAAACCCTTCATCTAACTCAGATTTCCAGGTTAAATTCAAAGTGTATAAAGAAAACTTTCTTTAACTCAACTTTCCATTTATATCTTTGGATCTATCACATCTTCAACAGCTCCTACTTTGGATTACTGTCCGTGTGGAGGGTGTGAGCCACTAATTGCTGGACTTCTGTCAAGTCAGCAGTCTCCTATGATTTTGGATGCTGCCACATAAGATTTCATATAGTTAATTCTTTCAATTTTCCTTCTGAAAAAGAACACTCTCAGCTTCTTTAAACAATTTCTTTCATGCATTAAATGTCACAACACTTTCTGAGAAACAGAATTTTGGATTTTCTTAACAAAACTCTATTAATCACCCCATTAATAATGAGTCTGTTTAACTATTTAAGCAAATTACCAAAATAAATTAACTTAAATGACATTCTAGTTTATTGTGATGTAGCTGTAAATCTAGGGAGCAAAATGTATATATAATCAGTAGGTCAATAAAGCTGCAGAAGAAGCCGCCACTAAATACGTCCCTCATTCCTCCACTTTCACACTCACAAATACAACACCTGAGCTAGCACAGACAGGAAATGAAACTTACCTCTGACTAGGCTTTCATAAGGTCCATCTATGGACCCCAAATCCATCACGATAGTTTTTAGTAAAAAAAAAAAAAAAAGCGACATAAATTAAACATGTGGCTGCATGAAGAGACAAACCGCATGCAAAGATTAGCAGGGGGTGAGGGGGGGTAACAGATGTGAGAAACGGGTTAGAAACATGCAAGATGGCAATTTATAAAATATATAGCTCCAGTTTTTATGAATAACAAACATGTAGATGCGTATTGAGAGAGTGGGAATATTAGCCAAGAAGATGTGAAGAGAGAGGGAAGAAAAATATATATCTTTGTAGTTGTTATCCAATAGTTATTGAATTCATATTTTATCTGAAATTGATTTTAATTTACAAAAACCAAAGCAAGAAATCTTAAGATAATTATATCGCTCTGCAATAAAATCAGAACAGTCATGGATGCTTGTCTATGTTTTGATGATGACGGGACAAAATGCAGGAAGAGCCAATATACCAAACTAAATGGTGCAACGTATTTATAAACAGATAATTAAGTATCATAAATAGTCATTCCTGCTCTTTTCACATCACTTGATTAATTCCAGTCACATAAATAGCCCACTACGTTTTACGTTACGGTATCTTCTGGTTTTCTGGTTTTTATCATATTTAAATGTGGCTGATTTATATTAAGGCTACCATTCAGCCTGTAGCCATTGAGTCTGACTTTTTTTAAACAGAGTATTGATGCAGCAGAAGGAAAACATGTATAAAAAAAAAAAAAAAAAAAAAAAAAGCCCAAATATTATCCGATCCGATCCCTGTTCAATTAGACTTCAAATTTAAGACCCCCACGTCACAATAAACCTATAATTGAATTTAACGTAACAGTGATAGGCCAAGAATNTTTTTTTAAACAGAGTATTGATGCAGCAGAAGGAAAACATAAAAAAAAAAAAAAAAAAAAAAAAAAAAATCACCTGATGAGGGAGATCAGATCCCTGTTCAATTAGACTTCAAATTTAAGACCCCCACGTCACAATAAACCTATAATTGAATTTAACGTAACAGTGATAGGCCAAGAATACTACAGTTTCATTTTTAACAATATAAATCTGTAAAGTGTGGAGGGCAATTGTATTAATTAAAAATACTGGAAGCAGATTTAGCAGGGTTAGAGAAGCAGGTCTGTGGGGCTTTGTTGATCTAAAGTCTGACATTTTTACCCGTTCTATTTGAAGAACAACTCAGGCTTTTTTTTTTTTTTTCAAATATTGCCACAGAACCTCATTTTGACGCATTTCTGGACGTTGACTAGGTCACTCAAACACATGAGTGAGCTTTAATATAAACAATTAATCAGATAAACAATTATTTAAATAATCGAATTTAGTAATCAATTAATCATTAACTGGAGTGTAGACTCTAAAACATGCCTTTAGATGACGGAGCAACCCACCTTGAGCAGCAATTATACTGCATAAATTTTTTTTTTAAATTGTAAACATTTTGCATTTAAGATAAAAATAAAAAAATAAATTTTTTTGTCCACCAATATGCTCTATCCAGAACTCCTCAAGAGGAAAAGTTTTTGTTTTACCTGCATAAAGTCTTCTTTAAGGAACCTTTGGCTATCATATTATAAATCGATCAATCAAAAAAATAAAAAATAATCAACAGATTAATAAATTAGCATAATAATCATTAGTTGCAGCGCTAATATAAACCATTCCTTTAAAGTTTCACTGTAAGATTAAAACCTTTTGCCTCCATATTCAGGTTTTCTGCAGCCTTCAGCAGGCTTTCCTTCACGACTGCATTTATTTAGCCCCATGCTTCTTGTCCCAGCTGCATTAGACCATACTTGCAGGATGATACTTCCACCACCATGTTTCACTGCAGGTTATAGTGTTAAGAGTGATGTGCCACCTAAGGTTTCCCTCACATACAGGGCGTGATATTTCATAATTTTAAATACGAACTGCTAAATTGCCCATAAAATACATGCACTAGTAATCAGTGGGTGTTTTGCTGGGGATCTACAATGATTGTGGAATAATGAGTTGTAAAATGTTCACATCGCCTTATTTAAATAAGAAAAAAGTAAGAAAAACACCTAAATACAAAACAGTAATATTTTTGGATGGTTATTTCAACTCTACTCAGTGAGATTTTAAAATGTAATGTAAGAGCCGAAGGACGCCGCATTAAAAACAGAATTCCACACTCTACAGACTAACGTTTGCTTTAAAATGAAAAGAGCAGGATGCCAGTTTTATACAGAACTTTCAGTTTGGGTCCAAAAAAGAAAGACCCCCTTTCCCATTGAAAATAAGAAAGGTTAAACTTTGGGGTTTTGTTCCGTATTCATTCACTACTTCTCATTGGTGAAAGCGATACAGACCCCCTCTGTGTCATTCAACTAGTTCTAAGTCGACATACAATCACAAAAGTTAGGAAAATATTTTATGAAGGTTGAGAAGTTACTCCGTGTTGCTTTAAAATTATTTCTTCTGGTCTATTACATCAGATCAAATCAAATACATAGTTTGGAGTTCTTGTAAAACAAAGTTGCAGCCCTACATTTAATTAATCTTTTTTTTTTCTTCCTAAGCCCTTAGTGTTGCTTAAATTAATATGGAAAAACATCAATCAATGGTTCTCTGATTTGTCATCCCATTCTGCAACTTCAAAGTTAGCATTCAAGATGCAAAAATGTATTGGATGACACGATGCAAAGTTATGACTGAGATGCTGTATTAGCTTTTTTTTTTTTTTTTTTATAGTAACCACCCCTGATCCTTCCATAAATCTTGTTCTGGTATTCATCATCTTCCTCAGGTTTACATTTTCACCTAGCTGTCCTGAAGAGGATAGGGACAGAGAGGGGGGAAAAAAAAGAAAAACTAATTCACATCCATACTCTGGGTGGTGTTACACCCCCCGGGCTTTACTGAGATCCTGCCAATCTAAATTTAGCACCGAACCGTGGGATTTGTCCTCGATTTTAACTCTTGAATGTAGGTTGAGCCTAATAGATTCGAGTGCAGAGAGGCAAAGAAATCAGAAGGTGAGGCACAGGACTCGTTCCAAGCAAGATCAGGAAGATAACTTTTTGGGACTATTGTCCGTAGAGGAAAAAAGAAGAGTTTAATTTTTCAACAGAGTCAAAATCCCCATATTATCTACTCAAATTGAATAAAAATATATTGATATATTGCTGGTGATGGAATGAAGAGTGTGTTATGTGGTTATATGGCTGTCTTAAGATGGGTTGTTAGCAGATCAAAGAAATTGTCTCCACAGAATGATTCAGGGTTCCTGCTGGTTCCTTAAGAGGCTGTTGCAGGCTCTTTTATTATTGGAAGCTATAATATTATACACTTTAGGTTTACAGCTTTAGGTATTTGCATAAACTTTACATTGTACCATGCCACTCACTTAGTCTTTTTGCGGATCTCTTCCACCAGCTGCTTAATGTGATCCTCCATGAACTCAATTTTCTCCTGCTTTCTTGCCAAGGCCTTTTGCAGACGGACTATTCGATCTACGAGCACCGCCTTGTCGACCTCTGGGAAGCTGTCCACGACCATCACGGAAGGACCAGATTGGCTCTCTGGTGAACGCTCCTCAACGCTGCTGCTTCCACCATGGCGTGCATTTAAGGAACCTGAGGGACCGCAGGAGATAAAGACTCGAATCATCGTAGAATATTGTGTATTTTAGTGACTTGATTATGCAACGACTTTAAATATGTTAGTAACTGCATAATGGAGAATAAATACATTTGGATCTTTTTTGTTATTTTGCCAGAAACTAAAATATAAGAATACACTATAAAGAGATGAAATCATCATGGTAAAGGAAATTTATTTTAATAAATCAGTTTAAAAGAGTGAAACATTAAATGGGACTGTTACAGCCCATTAGGTCTAAATTATGTGCATTGGAGTGACTGCCCCTTTTTGCAGGTTATGGTGCAGGGGACCAGAACACAGTATGTAGAGCTTCGTCTCCTCCCGGCTTTTGCACCGAGATGGATGCGGCGTGCCGCTTTGCTGCTGGGCCTCATCCCTATTATATGAATTTGTCTGTATTTCAGCATAAAATCATTTACACACACTCTGAATCGCTGGTACAAGCACTTGCATTCTATTTTAGTTTATACTATTGCAGGTTTTAGTTCAACAAACGTTCTTTTTTGCACCTTTACCTACCATTTGCCATCACACTGAGCCACTCATTCTGATATAAAGTTGATGATAACCTGACATTTTGTTTCCCAGAATGAAGCTGGAACTAAATCTGTGGCAGCCTTCAGATTTCATGTTAGGAAGATAAATGCAAGTATTGCTGGCATGGGTCAAAACAATGTAAAGGTTTGCTGATTGCTAAAGTTTTTGTAAGGCTCAAAAATGACTAAGTAAACACTATCAGGATGAATGCTCGATGTTTTATTTGAAGATAAACATATGTTGTTTTTTTCTTTACAGACATAGTACCTTACCAGGCTGTATTAAGTCTGTACTAAGTTCTGAGCCAGAAACCATGTGAGAGAAAAAAACTTGACTGTTGCAAATTCAGCAAAATAGTAAAATTTGAATTTAATTTGAGACCAATGTCCCAGTCTTTGAAGAATTGTTAAAAGGCTTCAAGTTGTTTCAGTTTTAGTGGGAATTTTCTAATTGAGATCTCTTTTTTTCTGATTTTTAAAGTTGGCAGAGTCATCTGCGAAGTCCTGTACTGACCAGAATATAGGACGACCCCTCTTTACAGGACCAGTTTTCAGGAACAAAACAAAAAGACCAAAAAGAAAAAGAAAAACAAGACTATTTTAAGAAACCATTTTATACTGAAGTGCTAAAACTTTCATTGATATTAATATTACATTGAAAGATTTATGCAATTAAACTATAAAAAGTAAAAAAAGGAGGCTTTTACTGACAGACGCGCTCTGCCTCGCTGTCACTCCTATTCTCACCCTGCAACTCTGCAATTTTTCGATAAGCTTTTCTTTTGCTGTTCGCATATTTCAGACGGTATGTTTGAACGTGCAATCTTCTGACAGCTCACTCTTTAACTCCTTACTTCTTTGCTGCCTGACAGTTTTTTGATGCCTCCGGTGCCTTGGTAACCATTATTTTAAAATTGGTGTCATAACTCCGCCTCAAATAACTGAAAATTTGTGTGACTTTTGATCCACTCCGTCCTTGGCAGCGACTTTCTATCTGTAGCATCCCTCTGACTTCTTCTCTGTTGCCATAGAAAGATGACCCCAGCCACAGTGAGGACACTGGCTTTACAAAAACACAGCGCCCTCTGCTGTTGCGTTCATGTAGCGACCACAGACCTTTAGAATTGGTTAGACTCTGATTATAAGACAACCCCACATTTTTACATTGCTTTTAATGAGAAAAAAAACTTGTCTTATATTCGGGCCAATACGATAATCTTACAGAACTTCTGCTGACGAGCTTTATGGAGATGCTGGTTTATGTCAGTAGAACTAAGCAACTGTCTACACTACCCAAAATACCAACACCTGGTTTAATCCCATGGCTATTGGTCAACAGACATTTTGAAGAAGTGAGCCCGGTACCATCTGTAACAACCATCATTTCTCTGGTCTGAGTACAATTACAATTTCTGCCAAATCTAATGTCATGTCTCATTGTAATTTATTACATAAACCTTATAAAATGTTATTTAAGCTGTTTGTTCCAAGCGATCTCTTCTCTACTGCAAAAACGATTTAGAAATAAGCAAAAATATCTTTAACTAAATTTATTTACGCTTAATTTGAGTAGGTAAGATGATTTACCAATGGAATGAGTATTTTTACTCTTAAAATAAGATAATTAGATAATATGCACTTGAAATAAGACAAGACAATTGTTTTTTCTTATTTTAAATGTAAATTGTCTTGTTCCATTGGCAAAGTGTCTCACTTACCTGATCAATTCAAGAAAAAAATGCGCTTATTGTAGGAAAAAAATGATTTATTTGGATTAACATTTTTTGCAGTGTCAGGAAAGAATCGGGGAGAGAAAGCTTAAAGATGTAAACAGAGCTTCTTCTACAAACTGAATTGCTGAAATACATTAATTTTTTTCTGATATTCTAATATAATAGGGAACCCTGATGAATTGCTACCATCATATCTAACAGAAATGATTGAATAAAGAAGTTTAGACTTAGAAGATTATTTGAAATATTAAATACTAACCAAATCTCAGAGCAGTACCTGATGAACTGGAGCGACTGCCCATACTGCTGGCATCTCGATCACATCCTCCATTCTCAACCTGCTCCAGCCTTTTACGGGCTGCAGTGGAAACAAAGCGAAACATATCAAAAATAAAACAAAAACAACAAAGCTGTGCGTAACTCAAACGCTGAAACCATGTTTTTTTTGTCCGATTCCTTCTGCATGTAAAAACCAAACAAAATTTTGTCTCTTATATGCTCAAGTGTGATTCTATATGTGCACACATGAAGAACAATCTGATTATAACACAATCATGTCTGAATCACTGATGGAAAATTGTTTTTTGAGCCCTTTCAAAGAGCCAGAAGAAGCTAGTATCTAACCTTGCGTTAGTTGTTTGGTGAGGTCCTTGATGTTAGCTGCTTGTTTCCGTTTCTGCGTCACCAGCTCGTCCCTTAGCTCCTCCACTCTGGTCTTCAGTTGGGCGACCTCTGCCTGCAGAGCCGCCCGTTCTCCCTGCAGACCCTGCACCTCCTGGTGCCTCATCACTTCTTCCTGTTTCAGCTTCCGTGACTGCAGATTTATTGAGGCAGAGGTTGTTAATATATTAGAGGACAAAGACTTTGTGACTGTATCTCAGTATGCACTCAGAGTATCCTGACCTTGTCGTCCAGAAGCCTGCTGGTCTCTTCCAGCTTTGCTTGGAGCTCCATGAAGCTGCTGCTGACCTGATCCAGCTGAGACTGAAGCGCGTTACTCTCTGACTGCAGTTGGGCATTCTTGCTGCTCAGCTTCTCTGTGAAGCCCAGCAGCTCAGCTTCACGCTCCCTGCTGCCTTGAACATCCCTCTGGAGGTCGACCATCTGATTGGTTAGGCTTTCCACTTCCCCTTGCAGAGAGCTGATCTCCTGTTTGTCCCTGTGTAACGCAACAAACAGGAGACATAATGAATTCAGATCTCAATTAAGCAGGGGATTGAATGTTAATTTGTTAAATAAAAACTGGAAAAAAAACTTGCAAGTGACAGAAATAAAGAAATGTTTACCAAAGAACTGTATACATATCTTTTAAAATACAGACAAAACCCCGAACTTTTATAGAAAATAAAACAGCTTCATTTCCCTGAATCGACATGTGATCATTTGTTAAAGGTAACTTTAAATGCTATTTTAGCATTTAGTCTTTTTTGTTATGAGTTTATAGATGTTATGCATCTCATCTTGGCAATATTTCTATATTATAACATAGAAAAGTAAAAAAATAAAGCTAAAATTCTATAAAAATATGGGAAGACTTTTCTACATTTAGCTCCATCAGATCTTCTGTTAGATTTAGTCCCAACTCTGGATGCATCTCTGGAATCATTGGATCAGGTTTAGCTAATTATGGGCCTGTTGCAAATTTCATCCACCTCATTCAAAAGAAGTAAAGCTCTTAAATAGAGACCCTACAGTATGTTGTTGCCTCTGATCATAGTGCCTTTTTAATGATAAAGGAGTTCAAACCAAATATTTACTTTTGAATTATAAGAGTTTTTGGGGAAATATTAGCCAGATTTGAGTCTACTTTAGAAATAAAGGATCCTGTTAAGCCGAACTGCCTACCAACCACTTTAGGGACACAATCAAGTGTTGCAGCTCTTTCAGTCATACTTTTAGCCTTTCAGCAGCCTTCCTCGCCAGTTTCTATCAAAAGCTTTAATCATTTTGAAAGAACAGCTGATTCCTGCACACAAATAAGCAAATGTCAGGAAGATCCTCATGAGACAATGAAGCCTTATTACAGGTTAATCAGAACACCACTATCATGGTGGATGTGAACTCAATAAGGCTAAATGATGTAATTAAGTAAAAGGTCCTTAATAAGGTGTTAATTTAAGGGTGCGCACAAAGGTGTGTTAAATCGGTTCTGCTAATCCTTAAGGGGTCTGAGTGTAAAAACAGAAAGACTATAGCTACCTTTATCCTTATCTTTAGAATTATTGTTGTTTATTGGAAAATTCTTAAAATACTGGTTCAAACATAAACATCCAAATTATTTTAGAATAGAATAGAAAATCCCTGTATTGTCCCTCAATGGGGAAATTCTGGTGTTTACAGCAGCAAAAAGATTATAGAAAACTAGAATAGAAAATCCCTATATTGAGGTACGGGAGAATTATAAAAAATAATACACAGAATAAATATGTGCAATTGTAAAAACAATTGTCACATACATGTTAACCTTAGGAAAATGTATAAGAATAACATAATAGTAAAGAGTTAAACAAAATAAACAACAAAATACTGTACTGTAAAGTGTTTTAACAATACAATACAGATATGGACATTTTGACAGTAATGGATATTTTAAAACAGCAGCAACATCAGAGATGTGCAAAATGACAGCCGAATGTTGTTTAATTGAATAAGATAGAAATTGTGCAAAATCAGTATGAATGTCGATGGGAACAGTGGTGGTTATAAAGTCTTACAGCTGCTGGGAGGAGGGATCTGTGATAACGCTCCCTGGTGCATTTAGGGTGCAGCAGTTTGTCACTGAAGGAGCTCTCCAGTTCAGCAACAGCTTCAAGCATTGGGTGGGAGATATTATCCAACAGAGATGTTAATTTAGTTAGGATCATTTTGTTTCCCACCTCCTGCACCGAGTCCAGAGGGCATCTAATCACAGAGCTGGCCTTCCTGGTCAGCTTATCTAGCAGCTTTCTCTCAGCTACAGATAATCCACTGCTCCAACAGACGGCTCCATAGAAGAGTCATTGAATGTCTTTAGGAGCACCCCCTGCACTCCAAAAGACCTCAGTCTCCTCAGTAGGAAGAGTCTGTTCTGACCTTTTTTATAAAGATCCTCAGTATTGTGAGTCCAGTCACAATATGTGACATGTGAGTCAGTAACAATATTTATCCTGCAATCTATAAGCATTTTCAACATCAATCAAATTGATCACAAAAAAAGGAGTTTCATTTTGGGAGAAATTAAATCCAAATAATATGAAGCATTCACACTGAAACGATTGGTAAATTACTTTCCAGCAGTTATCGCCTTAAGGTGTTAAGGCACATAGTACCTCACTCTGGTTGATATAAATTATTGCATTAGTGTGTGGCGTTCTGCAGCGTGCTTCAACATTAGTAAGAAAAAGTGTAGAGCTCTACCGTTCAAGCTGATCCTGAAGCGCGGTGACCTCCTCCAGTTTTTCCCTCTGGCGGCCAATCTCAGCTTTCTGCCGGTTTATGATCTCCCTGTATTTGGTCAGCTCATCCTCCCACCGCGGCCGCTCGTCCTCCAGACACTTTAACTAAAGAGTCACACACCCTTGTTAAATAAACAACTCGCTAACGAATGCAGCACGGGCAATAATCTGGACGACAAACCTTGGTGCGTAGTGTTTCCAGCTCATCTATGCTCTCTTTGTAACTCTTCTTCAACTCCTCCAGTTCTTTAGCCTTTGCTCGGTGCATCTGGAACATACATTTTTTTTAAATACATATATGCTCTGCCTTAAAAAAAAATCCACTTTATTCAGGAAAACATTTCAGTGATTTTTTTTTTTTTTAACACCGTGTTTTTACACAACAAATGCATTTCTTTGAAAGCCTCCTGTTTCCTGTGTTTATGAATTCATTAGGATGAATCAACGACTTGTTTTTAATGTTTTGCCTCATGTTTTTATCAAAGCCATTATTGCCGTTGCCGCTAGTCAACTTTTCCAAGAAGTCATTAGAAACCTCTGGTATCCACGACGACGCAGCAGTAATGGAGGTGGTGGTAAACTCTGTTTCGTCTATTCATCCTGTCGCATCCAATTTAAATGTAATTTCCCTACCAGTAATGGAGACAGCTCTGCTTGCATAATGAATGATATGGGTGGCATCATCATATGTGTATAAGGTACGTAATATTAAATAAAAGCTTAGGCTGTGGTCAGCCAAGTTCATGCGATGATTTAACATCTGAAGGCAGCTTTGGTTCAAAACTTTACGATCAAAAAATGAATCTCATCAATTAAACATGAAAAATAAAAAGATTAACTCTTATTTATTAACCACAAACATGGAAAATTCAAATGTAGATGTTTCAGCTAAGCTGTTGGCAGCCTGTAAAAAATGATGCAGACCCTGAAATAAATCTAACTGGGTGAGGTCTTCTGGGTTGTTTTTGAAATGCAGGGCTTAATATTGATTATTTCTAGGACGTTTATTTTTAAAGTCTGATTCCCATTAGAGTGTGGCACTGAGAAAAACAGGCCACAGCGTTTGGACCGAGTCCATTTGTCTGGCTGTGTTCAGAGGCGAACTCTTCGCTTCTCTGAAAGCTGAGGAAGAGAGCTGGGAAACAGACGTTTCATCCAAATCATTCAGAAAATGGAAAAACCTAAAACATGAATAATTTTTAAAGGACAGTCCCACGCAAAAAAATCCATTTCCTTTTCATTTAGAAAAGGATTCAGACCGCCTGACATAATTATATTTGAATCAAAGGAAAAGCATATGAGCTTTAAAAAAATTATCACAACTTAAAATAAATTAAAAAAAAGTGTTTGATCATTGATATTTGTCTTCTTTTAGAATTGAGTATAACCGATAAAAGGACAATTAGCAAATAAAGTAAATCAGTGGGCAATTAAATCACTGAAAGACATTGAGAGTTTCAGGAGCGGATATTTGTTTCAGCTTGGGAGCCATAATTAAGAAAAAATCATTTTCTAAAGGATGTGAATGATGCGTAAAGCTGAGGGAGGCCTTTAAGTTTTTTGCCTTATAGATTAACTATAAATTCATTCTCGATTTTAAATCAAACAAGAGCCAGTGAAGAGAAACAAGAATAGAAGAGATATGTTCACACATTTTCAATCACATCAGAAGTCAAGCTTCAGCGTTCTGGAAAAATAGGAGATCAGACGTTTAATTTAGTTAAAAAGATAAAAATTATTCAATTTTAGATAAAAGTGTCAGATTATTATTGCACAGCTGAACATATCTGCTACTCAAAGTAGAAATATTATTCAAGTCTCAGAATAAATGCAAAAATGGATGAAAATCAAATAAGGAATATCTGACAGAAAACGACAACGAGGATTTTATGAGACCAGGGTTAAAGTTCATCTTCTAGCTACTGTGCTGTGGCTTAGATCCCAGCCTGCTGGTGTGTTAGCTTGACTCACCCTGAGTCTAAACCTAAATCAAACTGTGGCAAAATTGAGTTTGAGCCATTTTGTATGAAACATGGAGTACAACATGCAGAAACATGCCCATCACTTTAAACTGTAGCCACTTTGGAAGGTAGCTCACACTTTTCAGATTAGTATTTGTAAAATTGCAAAAAAAACAATCACAAAATCTCCCATTAAAAGTCACTTGGTATTAATACTTGTGCAAGGCTTTGGAAAAGGGAAAATATCTAGTCTATGTCATGTGTTAAGTCACATTTAATTAACAAAACATGAGGCTGCAACTTCTATTGACAGCCTATTATTTCTGGAGCCGGGTAAATTAGCTGGAACTAATTATATTTAAATGTATTGGAGCTGAGAAGCTGTTTATGTACCATCTTTTTCTGTTTGTCGTCTTCCCCCCCCACCTATGCTTTTTGTCTCTGTCCCTCCCTCATGTCCTTAGGCTAATTTCACTGCAGGTCAAAATGTAAATATTTGTCATTCAATTCTGGAAATAAAGGAAGAAAGCAGACGTACGGAAAGAGATGAGTAAAGGAAGAGAAGTTTTGGTATGTACAAAAACTGCTGTAAGTGTAGAAAACATTAATCACCTCTAATTGGTCTGTTTGCTCCTGCTTGTGTTTCTCCAACTCGCCTTTGGTCTCCCTCAGTTTAGCGTCCAGCTCGTTGGAACGAAGCTCTTCCGATTCCTCAAGAAGAAACAAATCAAAATATTAGATAAAGGTGTAAAAAAACAAGTTAATAGATTGTTAAAAAACATCTTATGATAAAAAAAAAATAAAAAAAAAACCTTTGTCTGGCGTGTTATGATGTAAAATACTGCAATAGTCAGAAACAGATCAGAATGGTTTCCATATTAGACTGAAATCTATCATGGCTCTTTACTGCCCCCATGAGGTATAAACCAAAAACAATCTTCCATGATTTACGGTAAGGTTTGCTTTAACAGAAGCACCTTTATCTCCCGTTGACCAGTAACTTTTCAATAATTTTATACATTTAAAACATTTTTTAGGCATCTTTCATTATGATCAACCTTCAATACAAAAAAATAAACCCACCTGATACGTTCGAATCATGTCCTGGCAATTCTTTCGGATCTGTTCCGTCTCCTCTTTGGCCTGAGCCAGCTTTGATGTGGTTTCTCTCAGTTTGTCTTTTGTTTCCTGGAGACAAATAAACATGGAAATGCTTTTTAAAGAGTTTTTTATGTAAAAAAAAAAAAAAAAAAAAAAAACAGCAAAGATTTTAACAACACACTCCATTAATTTGCTTTGGTATTTTGTAGTAAGCTGCAAAAGTCCCCCCACCCCAACAGACAGATCTGTGTGGCCTTCAGCAGCTCCTGACCTTTTGCACTTTCTTCTGTTTACTGCTGTTTATTCGCCTTGAAGCAGCAAAGAATAACTTATTTTGTAAGAGATGTTTTGTTTTTCCATCCTTCGTTTTTGTAACATCTTCAATGATGACAATTTCCTTTTAGGTTAATTAAAGTGCAATTCCTATTTCACTGCAGCCCACATTCAATTATGTTATTTCACAGACTGTCATCAGAGGAGGTGATCATTTATATGCTGACGTAGATCATCAACAACTACTCACATGTTTTTTTTATAAACGCACAGAGCTACATGTTGGACATGCAAAACAGTTTGTCATTTCAATAAAATTAAAACCTTGAATACTACGAGAGCTTGAAACCAGCTTTAGAAAGGCATCTAAAAACAGGAGTAAAAGTGAGCAAAAAATGTTTTCATATTGTGTGTTTTGGAAAGGAGTTCATTTTTGTGGTATAGGAGCAAATTGAAATGATGCAGAAAAATTAGCAGAAGGAAAAACGTTATCACACCATCAATAAAATAGTATGCATTCCTATGATAATGTAACTATACCACTGATTTTAAGTCCACTACTTTGCTATTTATCTCTCCATTCTACTATAGAAAGAAAAAAAGGTATTACATGTGTGCTAAGGCAAGAGGTTGGAAAGTAAACATGTCTAATTTGGTTGCATTACATGACTATGGGCATAGTTTTGGCTCTAACTCCTGGGCCTGTTTTCCTAATAAGATTTAACTGAAATTTTCAAATTTTACATTTTTATTTTAGCTAGGAACCAATTAGTCATAGGAATGCAATGTTTAAAGAAAGACCAGGACTTTAATGCATTCATTTTGATAAATAATTATATAGATTTTAACAAGTTTTAAATTTTTTTTTTAATACATACTAAAGTCCTGAGTGGAAACCTTTGTGTTCAGTTTCTTGTACACCCATAAATGTGATGCACAATCAGTATCACTAGCCTTGGTCAACTGGAAAGGTGTGTCCAAATGTCCGCCCTAGTCACTGCATAAGGCACTATATACTGTAGTGGTTTACTCCATTCGAGATGAGTGTCCGAATGTCTAGTGGATTAAGAAGTAGCGGACACGTAATTTCTCACAATGCACCTTGAAAAGTAATGATCCTCCAAGGTCACTAGACGAGCAGATATATTCCGGAATGCTTTGCGAGGAGAGCTCTCCTCGCAAAGCATCATGGTTTGTTGTCACAGAGGCCAACAAATAACATAAATGGTGCAGGCACCGTGCAGGGAGGAGGAGTTACACGACCATCTGGGAGCGAAAAGTAATGATCATCTGTCCAAACTGTAAGTTAATAGAGTTCACTATTAAGTCCACCTTACAGTCCCCACTCCATATAGTGATTGAGGGATTTAGGAGTTAGGAGGGACGTTTGGACACAAAATCTCCAAGCTTAAAATCCCTTCTCTGTAAAACTCATGTGACAGCAGCACAGATGTTGGTGACGCTAATGTCAGCTTTCATATCCGTTGTAGAGATTCTTCAACCAGCCCACATTGGTCCAGATAACGAGCTTCAGAGCCAACATGAGCAAGTGCATGGCTGTTTCCTTAATTCACAAGAACGCGAGAACAGACTCGTGTCCTTGCCAAGCACGTTCTTGACTAAAACACAGAAAAGTATGGACTCGGGGAGAATGGGAACACATAGCATGTGGAGTGGCGGCCTAGTGGTTAGGGCATAGGGGTTGGAATCCTGAGGTTGTGAGTTTGAAACCCACTCCAACAGACTGCCACTCTGGTTCTCTGAGCAAGATCCTTAACCCCTTATTGCTCCCCGGGTGCCCCACAATGGGGATGGGTTAAATGCAGGGAGTTCATTTCGTTACTCTTTACTTGTGTAATAACAATTAAAAAAAAACTGGGAAAAAAAACCCAAATCTGAGTCCATTGGCACAGAAGTGTAGTTGTGATGTCACCACACGCTTGACTCGTCACATAAACACATATCAAATAAACATTTTGCTAAATAAAGCATAAAACAAAAAAAACAAAAACAACAAAAAATCGCCATCACAGCCAGCAGTACTTCAGAGACGGCTATGCCGTGAGAGGGCTGCTGCAGTCTGCTAGGATTAGACCTGGCTGTGTCCTTGCCGCGGTCCTCTCAACATCGGAACTTTTTAAATTACGCACTAAATCAATAAATGGGCCATATAGTGACGCTTAAAAGTATAATGTTCTCGCCTTTTATTGAACAACGGCAACAGAAAAGAGAACTTTTAACTTAATACTCTGAGCTCTGTGAGCGCTCCAATGGAAGCTGCTGCCGTGCTGCATGCTGTGACAGCTGTCAATCTCACGAACGACAAGTCTGCTCTGATGCATCCTGGGTAAAGAGGGAGTGACGAGAACAACATCTGGAACATCTGAAAGAGCACTATTGTCATAGCTCTGCTATCAGTTATAGAAAAGGAATTTTAACTTTTGTGTACAGCTCCAGAAAATATCAATGCTTTCTTAAAAAAAAACAGATAACTATGGGTGAATACCCTAAATAATAGATAAAAACAAAAAAGAAAAATTTGAACATTGTGTTGATGTGCTCATGTATTTTTTTCAATAATTTAGGAGCAAAGGGGGGTTTTGCATTGAAAGGGTTGTTTATTATTTTGTCGATATATGCCTTTCAATAGAAACGTGATGAAATAATGAAAGACAATGTAATTAACTTGATTATAAATTTCAATCCATTAACACCAGACTTGTAAGATTGAGGCTGAGACTTTACCTTATGAGCATCTGCTTCACTCTTTAATTTGTTCTGAGCCCATTTGACTTTGATTAGATGAGAGTTGATCTCCTCTTTTAACTTTTCCACCTCCCGTGTCAGTCGGCCAACCTCACCTTCCTGTAAACAAAGGGGTTAGAAGCTTAATAAGTCACCAACAATAGGAGAAAATAGAGTCACATAATAAGTGCTAATTGAGATTACAAATGGCTGCTTTCAATTTAATAATTGTTAAACTAATGCGGCTTAAGACAGAATTTAAATGCAAGCTTAATCTTGCATTTAGATTGCAGCGGTCATAACAAATAAATATGCTATTCAATAAATATAACCAAAATAAATCGAATATCGTTTTTAAGGTTAAGGAGCATATAATGATCCAGTAACAGCAAAATCCATAATATATGTATTTAAACACAACACTTATAGGACATTTCTAAGGAAAAATAACTATTTGCATTCTGTAAATGGAGAGAATTTCAAATCTTATGGACCTTTGCGTCATAAAGCTGTTGCAGCCGTCCCTTCTCCTGAGCCAGCTGATTTCCCCTCAGGGCTTGGCGGTCCACCTCCTTGAGGGCTTCCCTCAGCCTCTTCTCCAAACTCTCCTTATCCCTCCTCAGGTCCAGGGCCTCCTTCTCTCCTCGCACGTACTTCATCACCATGGCCTCCTTCTCCTGCCGCGCCTCATCACACTTCTTGTTCACCTTTGTTGGACGACAGTCATAGTCATTTCAAAGCACCCTTCAGAGCTGCATCTCAATAAATGAGCTAATGGTCTTCTAGTCTATTATATTTAGTAACCTATAAATGTATACAGCCAGAGAGGTATATTTTAAGAATTTTTTCTATTTAGCTTGCAGCCAAAAAAAAAAAGAAAAAGCTATACTCTACAATACCATGGAGAAGACCGCTGACACCACAGCACTGATACCTTCAACAATCGGTTTAAGCAACAAAGTGACCCTGGTAGGGCAGCTGGCTGCTATATCCAAGAGCATTAACAGAAAGTTGAATGGAAGGTAAAAGTGTGGCAGGAACAGGATCACAACCAACAGGAATCTGAGAATTTATGAAGCAAAAAGCTTTCAAAACCGGTGAGCCACAGCGCTAAGTTCTTCTTAATGGACTTACTAGACCGATAAATGTCATATTCCCTGTTTTAAGCCGCTCCTGAACCAAATAGGAGGTCAGAAGTGTTTTGCCTGGACAAAGGAGAGACAATTACAGCTCGGCTTTCACCAAAACCAACATTATGCAGTAGTGCAAAATTTCACTAGGAAAATGAAATTAAAAATATATATTTTAATAAAATATGTGAATACCTTTTTTTGAGGGAAACATGATATGGCTGTAGATCATAAAAATAATAATAATGATAGTAATTTGGAATAAAAAAAAAAAAAAAAAAAAAAACTTTTGGGTTAACTTTCTGATAAATTAACCTCTTACTATCCACCTCATTTTGGGAAATTCTCACCAATTTTGCATACCCAAATGGAAAAGCAAATAACTTAGGAACTGTAAGCCCAGATTACATGTGTGATACATTATTTGAAAGCGAACACCTTCTAGTTTCTGAATATATACATGAAATTTGGATGAGTAAAACACCCAAGCTGCATCAAGCTAAAGCTGCATCAGTTCAAACAAGACTCAAAGTTGTTTTTTTAATTCCTGAAAATAAAAGGTCTTTTTTGAACAACAGTTATAAAGACATGCTTGTTTGTTGTGGCTGCTTTGTCATGGTACATTTTGACATGCTGCTCGCTGTGTCCATAAAATGAACTAGGAGGTTGAATTGTGGAGAATCTAATCTTTCCAACGATGTCTAACATGTCTATATTGGTAAACATTTTACCAATGTAATTTTCATGCATTCTTAGTTATTATTTGCAAACGCTTTAAAACAACCTAGTGGGTTTTGAGAGGTTAAACCACATATGTCATAATATTGTAATTTCTTTAGATTCCCCTCATATTTACTTTTTTTGACCAAATGCTTTAGTTTTTTTTTTTTCTAATTTCATTTTTATCTTTTTTTTTCCTTTTATGTTTTACCCAATTTTATTGATGTAGTTGTGTGAATGTTACTTTTACCCATGTTTCTAGCTGTTTTATTTATTTATTTTTTATCTGTACTGTTTTAAGTTCTATTTATTTATTTTCTTTTTCTGTACAGCACTTTGCTCAACTGTGGTTGTTTTTAAGTGTTTAAACAAAAAAAATGGATTAGATTAGAATTGGATACTAAATATATATAAAAAAAAAAACCTATTAAAAGTTCTTATTTCTTCAGTGACAGACGCCATATTCCAACAGGAAACAACTGTTTATCAGGTATTCTGCATTCAAAAATCCATCTCTACCTCTGTGGTATCTTCATTGTAAAAGAACAGTACTTGTCACTTTGTCATCTGCCCAGTTGACTTCTAGCCAAGCACCATTGATGGAGCTTCAGCGGGATTAGACTCCAGGAATACACAAACTGACTGGACTTTTAATCGTGAGCCTCATCTTTTACTCATTTTAATGGAGTCAAAAAGAAAAATCAGAAAGAGTGTGGCTTTTTCCAACAGGATTTTTAAGTCTGCTGTGCATCCTTTACATTTTGTGGTTTGATATTTTCTGCCTTTGGTGAAATGATTGGGCTTCAGCTGCTTAGTTTTACATCCAGCAGAATGTGGAAGCAATGCATAACCTGCACAGTTTGTTTTAAATGTTAGGAAAGGAGAAAGAAAACAGTCTAAGCTGAGTTGGAACAGTTATTTCATTTTAATTTAAGAGACTTGAAAATTCTGTTATTTCTAACAGATCATCAACTTTAACATAAGTGAGAATATGACTGTGGATTGGTGAAAGCAAAGAGGGAAAAGCAGCACAATCTAACTCGTGTTGTTCACTGAAGGGTGAAATTAAAAACTGTGAAGTGTGACAGAACTGCCAGGAGAAGAGAGCCTTACATGGCTTAAACCAGGTGAGGAAAATCAGGATGAACAATATGTCTCCAGTACTATTTCTTTAGCTAGAGGTTTAACCTGGGCCCAGAGGAAATCATCTTCCTCCTCCAAGTAAGAAACAGACACACCAAGAAGTTTGACTTTTTCTTCCCTATTCTGAGTTTTTAGTTTCAAAAGAGGCGACATCGATCGAGTAATTAAACCTGGCATCTAATAGACACTGAGTTTAACCCAAGCACATGCATACAAGACATTCTCATCAATGGAACACAGATAATGTGATGCGCCATGGCGACAGCAGGAGCATCTAACAGCTCCAACCGCACCCAAAGGAAAAAAGGAATGAGAAGGAAAAGTGGGCGGAGTCCCTCCAAGAATGCCTCCTGTCCTTATTGGTGTTTTGTCATGCTCTGTGGGTGTGGCCACAAATCCAACTGTTAAAGGGTCGAATCAGTCAGGAAATTGAAGATTCACATTTCAAGATTTAGATTTTAAGATTTAGAATAGAATAGAATTCAACTTTATTGTCATTACACTGCCACAAGTATAAAGCAAAGAAATTAAGTCTCTGCATTTAACCCATCTTCTTGGAGAGCAGGGGGCTGCCATTGTCTGGCGCCGGGGAGCAGTGTGGGGTTTAGGGTCTTGCTCATGGCCCCAGAGTGGCAGCCTATGGGATGATTTGGACTAGAACTCAGAACCTCCGGGACCCGAGTGCAATGCACTAAACACTAGTCCACCAATCCCTGTATATTTATCTATTGGATATAAGTTTTAGATATAAATTAAACAACTTAAACAACACATATAAAATTTATGTATAGATATAGGAATTAGAAAAAGATTTAGCAAATCATGAAATATAGATATATGTAGATTAAAGATTTCTATTTAGCTTTGAGCATCCAGTGTGAAAAAAAGCCTTAAAGTTAAAGAATGCGTGGTAACTATGTGACATTAAAATTATTTTTGATAAATTTTTATATTCTGCGTACCATAATCTTTATGTGTACAGCGACGATGTTTATTGGTGCCACTAACAAACAAATGTAGTTTGTAACAGAACATCTTCTCAGTGTAACATCAAAATGTTCTTACATGAGTCTTACGGCTCTCTGAAAATACTGAAATATAATGTCTTTAATAAAACAAAAAAAGAAAAGATATTTCTTTGGAAAAGATTAAACAGAGATATCTTCAGAATTTCTGTGCTACAACATCCACATGTTCTTCCTGAAAATAATCCGCCATTTTCAACACTTCCCTGTGCAGGTCTTAGCTAAAAAAGTAGGAAACAATCAGGGTTACTTGCAATTTGTTGTCATAATTTTGCTCAGAGTAATGGCTTCCTAGGTTTCTAAAATGAAAAGCCAAGGTATGCTGGAATGCCCCCCCACAGTACTTACTCTGGATTTCTACTAACCCTGCTTTGTGAAATGAGGCCCAGATGTAAGAGGATTCCAGGTCCTCCATCTTTAGGCTACTAGTTCTGTACAAACATTCACAGCTGATATAACAGCAGGATTACAATATGTTCTGCAGAAAAATGATGGTTAGAAATAGCTTTTCTATAAGCAGCAATGCTTTTAGTTTTTACAAATATTTTTTTAACATTGTGTGTGCATTTGTCTTCTGCTTTGCACATTCAGAGATTAAATCCAATCTTCTTGGCAAATGAGAGGACTTTGTGAAAACAGTATTTGAACAGAACTGTTCTGATCTTGCCAGAGATTCTCAAATGCTTTTACCGTGACTTTGACTAGGCCTTTGTCTAAACGGATCCATTGTAGCTCACGCTGTTCCCTTCCAGCAGGTCTTTATTCTGTTGGAAGGTGAAACTCTACTATCTCCACTGCTTTAAACGGTTTCTTTTATATTTTAATTTTTGTCTTTCTTTGAAGTCAGACCAGATTTCAAGTAAAAACAAAAGATAAGCATGGATTTATGAATAATCTTGAAATATGACTTGTAAATTATTTGAACAATGGATTATAAGATTTAACATTTTCTTTCATAAAGCAACGCCCTTGAAATTGCCTTGATATTATAGAGAATAGTGGGAATTAGCTCATAAAGGTCAAGGTGCACCTTTGCATAAACCATACACAAGTCAGAAATGCTAAATAAGGGTCCAGTCCAGGGACTACCAAGCTGTGAGACTGGAACATTTTCAGGGTAATTAGATCCCAGCCATACCTGTTCTATCCTGAAAGTGGTCTCTCTCTGCATCTGCTGCAAAGCAGCTTTGGCTGCTTGATCCTGATGGATCAATTTCTCTCGCGACTCCTTCAGCTCTTTCAGCAGCTCCTCCACCCTCCCCTCCAGCTGCAAAAACAGGGAGGAAGAAGAAAAGAGTAAACGGCTGTTTGATCACACCTCAGCAAACTTGCTTTTCAGGATTTAAGTAGAATGTAAGGATTGAAAGCAAATCAGTTTCACAAAGAAATGATAGTGGGGGGTTAGTTTTTTAAACCTGCAAAAATCTTTTTTTTTTTTTTTTTTTTTTGTAAAAGAGATAATTTACCTGTAGGACTGAGTTATGATTACATTTAAAAAAGAAACCTTTGATTTTTATTGTTACTAATTAAATATTTGCTAATGAAAAACAATTTTCTTACATTAACAGTTTGGAAAGCTGCAAATCATCTTTAAACTGACTAGAAAGGGTAGGAAAAAAAATCACCTAAAGCTAAAGTCTACACAAAAATTAAAACAATTTGATTAAAAAAAATATTCAGTCTTTACATTAATAGGAAGAAATGTTTTAGTATTTCAAATTCTCATAAACAGGACGACCAACAGTGAGCACAAATCCATTGCATTAAAAAAAAAGAATCAACTCAAATATTCTGTTAGAACTAAAAACAATGTTTTCTTGCTAGAAAGTCATGACATCATCAATTACGTGTCAAACATGGCTTGGTACCACAATTAAAATATATTGGAAAAGACTGATGGATGCAGCTGTCATGATTTATCTGTTGGTTTGTCTTCTGTCTTCTCTAATTTGTACAACCCTCAGAGCAAGCTATTTAGTGTTTACCTAACATGAACAGTGGCTAAGTGTGTTCATAGTTGTTGTTTCACTCATTTTTTCCCCCCAATTTTTAAAAGAAAGAAAAAAAAAGAGGCATAGGAGTTTATGTTTCTTCATAAATAGCCAAAAAAGCAGATCTTTAAACAGGGGGCAAAGTGATTTGCGTGTACAAACATTTTTTCTCTTCCCCAATTTGCAGATTATATTCTAATGACCAAACGGCAGAAATTCAAGATTGAGGATATGCAAATGTAAACATTTACCACATGCAAAGCAATATTCCAAATCTAAAACTCAGCTGCGGTTGAAGTTTGAGACTTTTTTCTTACATTTGACAATCAACTGCAAACTGACACGCAAACAATCTTCTCCATAAAAAGCACCGACTTTTTAAAGTGTATTTCTGTCAAGATACTATTAATGACACCTACTGTACCTGCCGGATGCATTACAAGAGATAGATTGTAAAAAAAGGGGAGAAACCATTCAAGCTAATGAAGGCTAAAAGCTGCTCTGAGCAATAAAACACTTTTTAAAACAAAAAAACATATACATATCTGTAGAATCCAAAGCTAAACTAATCATTTAATGTGTAGTTATCGACTAGACACAGTAGCTAAGCTTGCAATGGCTTCCTTAGACAAACAGCGTCCATATCACTTGATTAAAGTTACATCAGGAGAGGCTGACTGTTGCATCAATCTGCCTAAACTAATCCAGCTCATCAACAAAATTATTTATTTCTTCATATATATATATATATATATATATATATATATATATATATATATATATATATATATAT